AAGGACCTTAACCACAACTAGCTTGTTAATGCATTATCACCCAATAGTGCAGTACCAGCCAATCTGACTTCATTTTTCCCCAACACACCTGCACTTTCTGGAGAAAATATCCAAAGGATGCTAACTACCTGAGGACCTCTGAAGCGAAGAAGCTTCAACTCATGAGAGCTGTAGCAGCAACTGTTCACTGATATTTAATGACTAGTAGTGGATATCATTCTAAATCATTCAGAGGAATTGTTTCCAATTATTATTTTTCTCCAAGCTACTCTTTGTTTACTCTTACCATTGTCTGTAGACTTCATTATAAGAAAACTATTCATTTCTAAGCTCATGGAAGGTTATGCTCCTTGTTCTTTCACAGCTAAGAAACCTACCAGGTTTATCGAGTTCCTTCAAATGATTTTTTTAATTTATTTTAACTCCTCATGCTCCATTCAGAAGTAACATTAGCCTGTCCTATCCAGACTGTTATTTCAACTGCTTCTGTCAAAAGTGCAAAAATTTTAACCCCTTCAGAACCAAACAGTTAAGACTTTAAAACATTGCTTAAGTAAAGGGAGTTAAAAGAAACACTTGCCTGGGACTGAAAGTTAAACAAAAGGTACATGTAGTCACATACCATCTACTGTCATTAGGGTATAAAATGCTGCTGGCACTTAGTTTGTCTTTCATGATTATAAGTCTTATGTCCTATGGGAAGCCATGGGACAAAGGCCAGTTTGAGTTGAATTGTCGAGTCAAGTATTGACATCACAGCATTCGGGGCATCACCATGCATGCTTCGGCAGCCTGCGCAGAGTTCCAATACTGATGGTGCCGGTCACAATCTGGTCTGTCTTGCCTTTCCTCTGAATTTAGTGAGCTGGTCAGACCCTCTGGCTACACCCAGGTGCCTCATTCTCTCCAGACCATAATAATCTTGTTTCTCTACTAATTCCGTTGCTTGTTCCCAAAGGGCCTTGATCACATCTGCCTTGTCATGTATCAATTCACCACCCAGTGGTAGTCCAGTTTGACTAGCAAGACCAGATTACATCAAACAGAATCTTCCACTAGAGTGCATGAGATGTCAGAACCACTGTTGCCTTCCCATGTATTAAGGATGTTTCTTCCCAGATGCTTATCTCTGAACCTGTCTGCAGTCCTCTTCTCCTATGTTCCTATTCCCTCCTCAGAGCAAAACAGGACATTGTGTTCCCACAGCATTCATCTCAATACCAGTATCCTTCATGTCCTGACTGCATAGATCTTTAAATTGAAGCAGAGGCTGATCTTGGCATCTTCTACCATCTGCAATATTTGTGTTCTTCAACCTTTGTACACCTACAGACTGGCAAAACAGGTCAAACTGCTTCACTGATCACCTCACAGCTAACCAACAATGTAGATACTGTTTATTTTTGTTAAATCTCATATCACAGAATTACCATTTTCTGCTAGTGCATCATCTACTATTGCTTAGAGGTGAGATAATTAATACAGTGATGTAGCGCCAGAATCATTTAGCTACTACACGATTAGATAGAAATTGTTGGTGGGATACCAGGACAGGCCTGCGAACCACCAGTGGTCCATCGGTTAAACAATGCTGTTCTACACCATGGCAGAAGGTATATCGGTCCACTGGTTGAGCAACACTGTTCTAAACCATGACAGAAGATGGAGTGGTCCATCAGTTAAGGAACAGTATGTTCTAGACCATAGCAATAGGTAGACTGGTCCATCGGTTAAAGAACACTTTTCTAGAACATGGCAGGAAGACTGGTCTATTGGTTAAAGAACACTTTTCTAGAACATGGCAGAAGGTGGACTGGTCCACTGGTTGAAAAACACTTTTCTAGAACATTGCAGAAGGTCGACTGGTCCATCGGTTAAAGAACACTTTTCTAGAACATGGCAAAAGTAGACTAGTCCATCGGTTAAAGAACACTTTTCTAGAACATGGCAGGAAGACTGGTCTATTGGTTAAAGAACACTTTTCTAGAACATGGCAGGAAGACTGGTCTATTGGTTAAAGAACACTTTTCTAGAACATGGCAGAAGGTGGACTGGTCCACTGGTTAAAGAACACTTTTCTAGAACATGGCAGGAAGACTCGTCCACTGGTTAAAGAACACTTTTCTAGAACATGGCAGGAAGACTCGTCCACTGGTTAAAGAACACTTTTCTAGAACATGGCAGGAAGACTGGTCTATTGGTTAAAGAACACTTTTCTAGAACATGGCAGGAAGACTCGTCCACTGGTTAAAGAACACTTTTCTAGAACATGGCAGGAAGACTCGTCCACTGGTTAAAGAACACTTTTCTAGAACATGGCAGGAAGACTGGTCTATTGGTTAAAGAACACTTTTCTAGAACATGGCAGGAAGACTGGTCTATTGGTTAAAGAACACTTTTCTAGAACATGGCAGGAAGACTGGTCTATTGGTTAAAGAACACTTTTCTAGAACATGGCAGGAAGACTGGTCTATTGGTTAAAGAACACTTTTCTAGAACATGGCAGGAAGACTGGTCTATTGGTTAAAGAACACTTTTCTAGAACATGGCAGGAAGACTGGTCTATTGGTTAAAGAACACTTTTCTAGAACATGGCAGGAAGACTGGTCTATTGGTTAAAGAACACTTTTCTAGAACATGGCAGGAAGACTGGTCTATTGGTTAAAGAACACTTTTCTAGAACATGGCAGAAGCTGGAGTTGATATTTCCTTTTCTCAAACTTGTGTCTTTCACAACAATTCCCAAAACAAGACAATTATCCAGTACTCATTTCTAGATACTCATTTCTAGAGTTTGGGCTGGCCTGTGAGCCTCAATTGTCAGGAAAAAAAAATTATGCCTCTACTTATGATCGAAAAGGAACCACTGTGTTCAGAGGCAAGTTAGATAACCTCTATGCCACTAGTGCTTCTAAACTTCTTGTGCAGCATCACCCATAATTCCAGGGAAAACTGCAAAACTGTTTCCCAGTAACATTCTTTGGGAAGTCTCAAAGATAGACTTAGAGTGGCGTAACATGTTCCAAACACTTCATATCAGTCTGTAGCTAAACAGGCAAACACTCAAGTTAATAGGTAAACTAAAACAAAGGACCATTTTTCACACATTCAGGCATTTTGGGCATTTAGAGCTAAACCTATATTTTAAAGACCAATCGGAACTTGGTTGGTGATGCGGTCAACAACCTGCCAAGACCGCAAATGGTACCCATTTAAGACTGGGTCAGCCTGGGAGCCAAGGTAATTGTTTTTATTTAAGTCGGGCTCCCCTAGGACCACAACCTTCCGATCCCTAAGTGAGAGTTTAGCTGCTACACAACGGCTGCTTCCAATACTAACACTAACTATCTTTTCCTCTGGTTTACTTTGAGTTGTGAAGAAACTATCACACAGTTTAGTTCAAAGACGTAACAACAACAGAAGCAAAACTAGCATTAAATGTCAGCATCATACATTATCATACACAGGTTCTAAAACTTTAACAGGTGACAGATTCTTATTTATCATATGAGAAATTAAAAACTCCTGCTTGTACACAGCATGGCAACTGCTTGGACAAAGGACCATAGTACCCTAATAGCAGCCACCAGCAGATGGCCAAGATGTTGTAATGATAACTTTTCTTTTTGACTGATAGAATAGAAACAGTAGGCTGGAGGCATTCAAAAGTAACATCATGAAATGTCCAAGGGATTGGAATGGTTCCATGCAGGTAATAAGCCAGTACATTGTACGAGGCTGACTGCAATCAATCAGTAAGTCCACTGGTTATAACCATCCTTAACATCACTGGCTAGAGCCAATCGGTAACTTTATCAGCAAATGCCAGCCAATAAACAAATTCATTAGTTTAAGCCAGTCCTAACTTCAGTGGCTGAAGCCAAACTATAACTTCACTGCACATGGTTTAAGCCAATAAGCAACTTCATTAACTACAGCTTCAGCCAATAAGCATCTTCATTAGTCAAAGCCAGCCAATCAGCAAATTCATTAGGGTCAGTCAATAAATAATGAAATTTGCTGGAGTTCACTAGCATTTTCAGTCACCCCAACAAATCAGTTTTTTCATCAGTCAGCGAAAAATAGTAACTTCACTGGCTGGAACCCCATTAAAGATGCAAATAGCAGAGAACAGAGAGTGAGAAGCAACAATGAAATTAATAATCTGTCTAAATCATTACTAATTAGTGGCATCATGAGCGGTAATAAACTGTGATGGTTTGGGCACATAGAAAGAGAATGGTGGAGGACCCATAAAACACTATGTACACAAAAGATATGAAGGGGGGTAGACCAAGAAGACAGTGGAGAGATAACCTACAGGCAGACCTAGAAACATTTGTGTCACCAACTGGAAAAACAAGGCCACTCAGAGAGATGAATGGGAGCAGGTGATATCTAAAGCTATGAACTTCAATGGAACTTCAGAATGCTGAGTTAAAAGAAGAAAATTACTGTGTGAAGCCAATAATTTCACTGATTTGAGCCAACCAGTAAAACTTTGTTAGGCGTTTGAATACAGTTTAGTAAAATATTTTCTATTGTGAACAAATCTGCAGTTATGTTCAAATGACCACATGTTCGGAGCAGGTTGCACGTTTCACCTATTGTTTCTGAACACACAATGTTATGATTACAAAAATCACTACTTGCTATGGATAGCATTAACTAATAAAAATACAGCAAACATTAATTCTAAAAACAGAAACAAACAGAAACAGACACTTAGATCACTAAGTTACATCAAATAGCAAAAACCACACAGCCTTGTCAAATATAAGATAAAATATATAAATTCAAAATGTCATATATTTTTTTACAAGAGTGACATTAAAGCCATCAGTGGGGGAAAACACACATACTGAAGCTATAAAAACATATCTGTTGCACCAACATACTGAAAAAATGTATGCAATGTTTAAACAAAAGTATAAAACACAGTGCATTCAAAGAAAGAAGGAGAGAAGAAAAGAATTAGTAAACACTTATCCACAGCTTACTTGTGCTTCAGCAGAAGTGTGCGCAGCAGTTTGCCGCGAACCTCCTCCTCTACTAAGTCTCTGATCACCATATTCTCCACCACATTGTGGATAATCGATGTTAGATCTGTCGCTTCTAAATCTAACAAAAGGGTCCCTGTCATACAGAAATAAAGTGTGGCAGTTATAATCTGAGTTTTTTGCCTTTCATTGGGACAGATTTTTATAAAAGAGTTAAAGCTATCAGGCAATCAGTAAGGGTTCCAACTTCATTGCAAGCTGTCACCCCATTCTGCTCTCTATGTGTTCCTGTTCTAGCAAAAAACAATAAATTGTCAATCATTATCCCAAATAAAGAGTCAGACAGCAGTCCCTGCAAAACCCAACAGCTCTCTTTCTCTCTCTCTCTATCTCTTTGTGTCTTTCTCTCTATCTCTCTCTGTCTCCACCCCTCACCCCTCCTCTCTCTCTCTCTAAATGCATAAGGCTGCCACCAAAGGTACCAACCCCTACAGTCTGTCATTATAATCGCTATCCAAAGCAGCTGCCACAACAAACAAGCAGTTGACCATGCATTACTGCATAAGACACACCACCAATTATGTGCCAATAAGCCGGTTGCCATTTTCTAAATATGCTGTTTACTATAGGTACCTCTGAAAGCACATACAGTAAGCATTCCCCATTAAATTCAAAACTCACAGTATCGCACCATGTACTCAACTTAGCAGCTGGCTGACAAAGTCTAATTTTGTCTTTACTCTGTGCGTTGTTTATCCAGTTTCCCGCTGGAAGTTGAAACCCCAATATTCCACTGGATTACTGGAATGAACAGGGCCCACTACAGGAAGGTAGGCTTCAGCAAGAAAGGCTGAGGGTCATTAAAGGTCTTGTATTGCATACCACTTCTCCATTAGGGGCTCAGAGACTTGGGACTTACTGAAGATTGTACCCAGACCACTGTACGGAGACAATATCCCATAAGTTGCCATTAGAAAATCATGCTTAAGCTTTAAAGTAAGATGATTTCAGGGTCAAAGCTTGTCCAGCATATGAAATAAGTAATACAGAAATCTATAAATTTACTGAGATGCCTAAAGAAAGCTGCCAACTTAACCTTCGGAGATAAAGTGAGAAATAATACTGTCAGACTGTACAAACAACACAATGCACCAGTTTCATCGAGAAATAGAAAATCAAATGGTCTGGTTATCTCGTTAGAATGCAGCCACAACAACAACCAACACAGGTGCTACACATGAAAAGACCTGAGGTAAAAGCAAGGGGTCGCCCCAGAACAAGATGGACTGATGATACTACAGACCTTCAACATCGACATAGAAAACAACAGCCTTTGCTTAACATTAGGCAATGGATCACAAACTGTTCCTCCCTGCAACGCTTGATAGCAAAAGTGGAAATTTATGATGATGAAGAGGATAAACTTACAGAATTGGTTTGGTCACTTCATTAGAATACAGTCATAACAATTACAAACACAGGACTTTACCTACAAAAACTCTGATGTGATAGTAGCAAGAGTGTGTCTAAGGAGAAGATGGGCTGACAACATAAAAAATATTATACATCCGCATGGAATGACAATCGCTAATGCTGCTCTTTGAGTTGGGACCTGCAGCTGCATAGTAACTAGTCACTAGCATGCCGCCGCAAAGGTCATAAATTCAAAGCCCCATCAAGGCCGATTTGTTTCGAAACTGACCTTGGCTCCCATATTGACCCAACCTGAAATGGGTACACAGTTAGGTCCTGGGAAGTGCAGGCGGCTGATATGATGCTGAATCACCCATCAAGTATATATAGTATATACAGATCAAGTCCTATATACCTGATGTCTCAAAAGGCCTGACAAGGGTCCTTTACTCTTACAGATCAAGTGCTAGACAGGACAGCAAACTGTGCTCCAGTGGAATTCTATGATGATGGTGATAAACCTGGACAATGACCTTCACTTACCTTTTTCCAGTCCTCTCCTGAGCTCAAGCAGAGAGTGAAATGAAAGTGAGGCCACGTGTGGCTTCCCCCATCTCTCAGCTCCCTCTTCAACATCCTCCTCAAACTTGATCCACCGGGCCTTTTCTCTCCACTCCATCATATCCTCACCTCCAAAGTGGAGCTCATCCAGCTCCACAAATACCTGTGGATAGTATGATAAAATTGCCTTCATTCAGGGGGTCTACACTTCAACAATAAGAAAATAAATTTAAAGAGATTAATTCTTGATTTTTTTTTTTTCATCTTAAATTCCCCCTTTTCCTCTGAAACCTGTATAGAGATTTTGGGGTTACAATTAGCTCTCACAGAAGAAAATAAAAGGTAAAACCCAGAAGACATAAAAAAAACAATTAAACAAAATTTAAAGCTACAGACCAAGGGTAGGCAACATTTTTTTAGCAATTTTTAGAATTAGCAACCAGTTACAGGTCATATAGGAAACAAATCCTTTATAAGTACCCAGATTTCATGTACTACATTGTTTTTGAGGGGCTTTTTATGCTTCTGGCCAGACACACTCACTCACTGAAGCACTTCAAGATATTCCTTAATGTGTGTTCAAGCTGGTTATTCTTTCTGCGTATGTTTTTGTGTTCTGCTATTTTGTGAGCGAAAGGGCCAGATTATATAGTAATATTACACCAGCGTCGCGGGTTAGTAAAAAAAATTTCTTAGCGGGATATAGTTTGCCCACCCCTGCTACAGACACCCTGGGATCTAAGCTGACCTAAAGGGAGAAATGCACTTCAACACAAGGGTGTTTATTTGGTTATGCAATGAAGCGCATTAGCTCCTTCGACAAGGTGTTTTTGTAATTGGGGGGGGGGGGGGGAGGAGGTGGTTTGACAATTAAACTTGGAAAGGACATGCATCAATCTTAGCAGGGCTTGTATGGAAATTTGTATCCTCAACCAGTATTAAGAAAAAGTATTTTGAACACAGATAATGTGTTGCAGAGCTATGCCTTCCCTTTCCAGAAACAGACACATAAAATATGTTGCAGAGCTATGCCATCCCTGTCCAGAAACAGACACAGAAAATGTGTTGCAGAGCTATGCCTTCCCTTTCCAGAAACAGACACAGATAATGTGTTGCAGAGCTATGCCTTCCCTTTCCAGAAACAGACACAGAAAATGTGTTGCAGAGCTATGCCTTCCCTGGCCAGAAACAGACACAGAAAATGTGTTGCAGAGCTATGCCTTCCCTGTCCAGAAACAGACACAGAAAATGTGTTGCAGAGCTATGCCTTCCCTTTCCAGAAACAGACACAGAAAATGTGTTGCAGAGCTATGCCTTCCCTGTCCAGAAACAGACACAGAAAATGTGTTGCAGAGCTATGCCTTCCCTGTTCAGAAACAGACACAGGTGGGTTATGCAAGACTGGCTCTGGAACTTCACATCCGCAGACAGGCATACTAAAACGATTTCAGGAGCTGCCGTAGTGTAGCGGTTAGAACAGCAAAGGTGCTGAACCTTGAATAACCTCTGACACTTGAAGCGGTAAAAGAGGAAGTGAAGAAGAAGAGAGAAAAAAGAAGTTGAAGCTTCAACTTCCAACTCACTGCCTTGGGGAAAGTAATGTGAAGTAAGTTTAACCAGAAATTATCACCATCACCCTTCTGATGTGCTGTTATAAATGACACAGGGCTCCGAGTTAATCCTCCCTTCTGCACTATCCTGTGCAACCTTTTAAATATTATACATGGAATCAAGTCTAGCACCTTTGGCCTCTCTCAGTCATGAATAATGATTTAAATTTGAGCAAAGAAGACACAAACAATAGACTGCACAATTTATTGCGTGACATATTTGGCTGTATCTTGTCAGGTGCATGCTGCAGTTACAAACTATTATAAGGAAGCAAATAAATGAATCCTTCTAACTGACACATAAAAGTGACTATATTAACAAGTAACTGCCTGTTTCACCAGGGCAACCACAAGCTGAGGACCATGTCCTTTTGTCTACATAATTCTGGACTAAGCCAGTTTATAGCCGCTGCTTCCATAACAAGTAATAGTCTGCGGTTGGCTGAACTATCAAGAATCAGAAATACACTGCCCTTGTTTACAATGTGCCCAGAATTCAAAAGAAAAAAATGGTGCGCAATGGATGACAGATGATCTTTTTGACCATCAACTGATCCGTTGTTAATACAGCGAAATATGCAAGGCAATAAACTTTGCACTCTATTGTTAGTATCTTCTTTGTTCAAATTCACAATGGGGAATCAACTGCAATGATGAAAAAGTTCACAATCTTACCTCATGAGGACTATGGTCGAACTTCTTGGCTACTTTGGGCTTCTTCTCATGATGGGTTTTATTAATGTGTACAACAGAATGGAGGGAGCCCTTCTTACGAGCAATTTTATGTCTCCTGATGCCCCGTTGATCTTCAAACCTGTGACCTGAGGGTGTTCAAGGTTATCATTACTGTATATTCTGCTACAGCACCTATGTATAAGAAAGCTCTTCAACAAGTCAACAAGATAAAATTCCATTAAAATACTAAAATAAGGGTTTCAAGTGAGTACTTTCTTGAAACCTATTCTTCTCCGAGAAATCTTTACTTTGTTTTTAGGCATATTGGGCATACAGCGCTAGATCTATATTTTTTATACCAATCGGCACTCAGTGAGTATGTCAGTATTACACCAAATGCTTTTATTTCAGAAAAAAACATATCCTGGTACCAAATTCAACGGTCGACTTGGACAACTGTTAAAAATACTGGCTTACATGAGGGGTTTTGAACACCTGACTACTGTGCCAGCAGGCTAGTGTGCCAGCTACTGTGTCATCATCATTATCATCACCATTGTCCTGCTGTGTGCCATTATAGGTCCTCACATACAGCTTGCAATCTATTCTTCCCCTGCACTTTACCCTGTGCAATCCCTTTGATATCAGGATGGAATAGGTCCAGCTCATACAGTCTCTCATCAGGATTCCTTTTACAGTTTCGTTTAGATGTCCTCGCTTCTTCAATTCTTTGATTTCCCGTTTCAGTGTCTGTCTGGTGATTCTCCGCTCATTTCTTCACAAGTATGTGTCCAATAAAGGGCCATCTCTAACTGTGTTACCAGCTGTCTTTACCCCTCATGGAATCATTCAGGGCTCCTTGCCAAGAAAATAAAGTGAAGTAAAAGGACCCTTTTCAGATCTGTTGTGCAAAAGTAAACAGCTATACAAAATCCACAAACTATAGAAGATGAAGCTGCAAAAAAGCATAAATTGTCTGGCAAGAGAGACTTTGAAACAATAAGCAAACTGATTTAATGATGTCTGAAGCTCTCATACCAGAATTATGGGATTAGCTATCTACATTTATTTAGTACAGTTCTGGAAAAATCTCTATCAGGAACAGCCTGAGTCACACCAAAGAGTTCTTTCACCTTTATATACTCAAAAATCAGTGTCCCTCCAAAAATTGGACATAGATGGGTTTTCCTAAAGAAGTCATAAATATACAACAAAAACAACAATTAAAAAAAAAACTACCAAGGAAAAGCACTGCAACACGCACAAATAAAGAAGAGAGAGAGGGGGAAAGAAAGTGTGTTAATATGCATAACACAACCTAATGTCAACACAGAGACACACTCAACAGCAGGTTGTTTAAATTTGCAGTAACCCTCCTTTCAACTGTACAGACATTCAAAAGTGCAGCTCAACTAATAAAAAGTTACTGCAGATTCAAAATAAGCCCTCCAAGCCATTTCAGGCCCCAGACACAACAGCATCATCTAAGAATTGTTTAAACAAAACATCAGAATACTGTTCACAAGAACAGACCTAGTCCAGCAGTGGATTCCAACAAACTGAAAAGGAAAGGCTTATATGCTCATGAAAGCGCCATGTGTATGAGAGCTTTTAAACATTAAAGACACTCTTAAATGATCTGCGAAACTGAACGGGAGAGAAGACTATAAGAATTATTGATCATAGCATGCTGTAGGATGTGGAAAGAAAAAAATACGATATTTTTTGAAAAAATACCTTGCATAATTCTGTTTGTTACAGAAGGTAATTCCTAAGGCAGGGAATACACTTGAAAACTTGGTGACAACAGGCAAGAGTAACTGATAGGAGGGCGGAGTAAAAAAAAAAAAGATACCTTAACCCTTTCAGTTTCAGGGGAGTTGGCGTCAGAGACCCAAGGAGTAGTAAAGACAGTCCTAAAATCAGCGCATGTTGCGTTTATTGGGCTTCTAGGTAGGAACCCATAAATGTATGATGCGTTCTTCAGGACTGAAAGAGTTAAAGGCATGGCAGTATGAATGGAAGGGACTGACTGCATCCGTAATTCTGGTGATCATGAGAGACAGTAAACCATGACCACCTATGCTCATCGGCATAGCACACGATGATGATGCTGTTTGCAGGAAGAGCAATCTGTTCACCCAAAAAGAGGGTGGTGGGCCAAAGAAGTATAGGAAAACTAGAAAGTAACAAAATAGTTTAATGTTAAGAGCATAGTTTCACTTCACTCCATTTTATCCCGTATGACTGTCTTTCTCTGCAGAAGGACTAACCACTTGTTGAGAAGACTGCACAGAACAAACACAACAGCTCTATCAAAGATCCCCAGGGATTGCCATTAAAACTGCACTCATGAAGTGAAGGACACAGTCAGTGAAACAACTCATAAACTTCAGATCATGAGGCAAATGGATAACCACTTAGCCAAAGAGAAGCTCCTAGAGCATTTCATGCACAGATCAACTTGTGGGTTGGGACAACACTCACTGGCCATCTCATCCAGATCGGCCTTGTACAGCAAAGAAGCCTCCTCTGTCTCCGTGGGAGATTTCCTGAATGTTTCCTCTAGCTTCACTTCACTGCCTTTTTGTCGTCTCATGATCAGGTCTTCGGTGCGGAAGTGCTCGTGGTGATGGTGGTGGCGGCGTTTGCTTGAGCGTGTCGACTGGCCTCCATCAGCACTGAAACAATGAAGGGACATGTTCATACAAGCAATTAACACATCAGTTCGATTCTACAGCAGCATGGTAAAGTAGCAGATGCAGCTGTAGGGACATAAAATGAAAGAATTCTACACGAATCAGGTGAAGGGACAAGCTCCTTTTCTCACTATCTGTGTTTTTCTAGAGAAATTTCTGCTACTTTTTTATTAAGTTGG